TTATCATTTGCCTGTTATAAATCTGATAACATGAAAAAATATCCAGTGTTTTTCTCACACAGTTCAATAAACACGAACCCTGAAGCCAATGATCCAGTGAGCGACTTTTGAATATCAAATCGGAAAACAAACCAGCTGATTATGCAGATAAAACGTGTATCAAACCTGTTCGACGGTAAATTCTAAATCCTTCTTCTCTGTCTGTATGTCTGTCTCTCTTTCTGTCTCTGTTAGTCCGTTTGCCCGCCTTTTTTCTCTCTATCTACCACTCTCCTTCCCCACCCACCTTTCTCCCCCCCACCTCTCTCTCTCTCTCTCTCTCTCTCTCTCTCTCCTCTCTCTCTCTCTCTCTCTCTCTCTCTCTCTCTCTCTCTCTCTCTCTCTCTCTCTCTCTCTCTCTCTCTCTCTCTCTCTCTCTCTCTCTCTGTGTGTGTGTGTGTGTGTGTGTGTGTGTGTGTATGTCTGTCTCTCTCCCTCGCTCTCTGTTTGTTTGTTAGTCCTTTGTCTGTTGCTTTTTTCTCTCTCTACCTCCCACTCTCTCTCCGTCCCTCCTCACTCCCTCCATCCCTTCTCTCTCTCTCTTTCTCTCTCCCCCCCCTCTCTCTCTCTCCTTCTCCCCCCCTCTCTCTCTCTCCTCACTCACTCTCCTCTCTCTCTCTCTATCTCTCTCTCTCTCCCTTCTCCCCCCCCCTCTCTCTCACACCACTCACTCACTCACTTTCCCCTCTCCCCCCTCTCTCTCTCTGTCTCTCCCATTTTCTTTCTTTCTCTCTCTCTCCTCCTTCCTTCCTCTCTCTCTCTCTCCTCCTTCCTCCCTCTCTCTCTCTCTCCTCTCTCTCTCTCTCTCTCTCTCTCTCTCCCTCCCTCTCCTCCCTCTCTCTCTCTCTCTCCTCTCTCTCTCTCCTCTCTCTCTCTCTCTCCTCTCCCTCCCTCCCTCTCTTCTCTCTCTCCTTCCTCTCTCTCTCTCTCTCTCTCCCTCCTTCCCTCTCCCTCTCTCTCTCTCTCCCTCCTTCCCTCCTCCCTCCTCTCCTCCCTCTCCTCTCTCTCTCTCTCCCTCTCCCTCCTTCCCTCCCCTCCTTCTCTCCTCCTCCCCTCCCTCTCTCTCTCTCTCCTCCTCCTCTCTCTCTTCTCTCTCCTCATCTCTCTCTCTCTCTCTCTACACCTTCCTCTCCTACACACTCTCTACAAGAAAAAGAAAAAGAAAGAAAAAAAAAAAAAAAAGACCAGGAGACGGGGCTGGTCGGAATTTCAACGAGCGAAGTCGATTTTACGTGTTTTGTATTCGTCGCCTCCTCCTCTGCCCGTCCGCTGGCATCTGGACCACGAACAATCCCCGATGCTTTTCCATCTATTTATTTGAATTAATACAAATTAATACTGCTTCTAATTATGACTGATATCCTCTGCGCTGACATCGTTTGATTTGAAGGATATTGAATTTCATTTAAAAAGATTAAAAAAGCTGCCGTTATACTTTAGCGAAGATGGTTCAAACGTCTTCCATGATGTTTTGTTCTCTGTTCGATTTCTTTACAAGAGATTAAGACGGAACCCGGGAGAAGCAACACCTCCGATCCCGAGAGAGGATTGTCAAAGGGCAAAACGTTTCTGAACGTTTTTAATCTTCGCGTGTGTTTGAAACAACGTTCGGGTGACTCCCCGCCGCGCGTTTTTCCTTTTCGCTCTTTCTCTTTGTTTGTCTCTGGCTCTGTTCCTTTTTGTGTTCCGTCTCTCTCTCTCTCTCTCTCTATTTCTCTCCCTCTCCCATTTTCTCTCTCTTTCACCCTCCTCTCTCTCTCTCTCTTTTTCTCTCTCTCTCTCTCTCTCTCTCCTCTCTCCCTCCTTCCTCCCTCCCTCTCTCCCTCCCTCTCCTCCCTCCCTCCCTCCTCCCTCCTCCCTCCCTCCCCTCCTCCCTCCCTCCTCCCTCCCTCCCTCCCTCCCCCCCTCCCTCCCTCCCTCTCCCTCCCCTCTCCCTCCTCCCTCTCCCCCTCAGCACTATGAAATTGAACGTTTCAAAGCCATCGGATATTCCAAACTCAAATAACAATATCACACGACCATTGGACTCGTCTCCTTCATTATCCCGCGAACTCTTTGATGCCGTCATCAAGGATTCATCAAATGGAGTTTCTGATTAATTTTGCAAAGAAATTCAGACTTGGTCAAGTTGGTGTGTGTGTGTGTGTGTGTGTTCGTGTGTGTGTGTGGGTGTGGGTGTGTGTGTTTTGTGTGTTCGTGTGTGTGTGTGTGTGTGTGTGTGTGGGTGTGTGTTTGTGTGTGTGTGTGTGTGTGTGTGTGTGTGTGTGTGTGTGTGTGTGTGTTCGTGTGTGTGTGTGTGTGTGTGTGTGTGTGTGTGTGTGTGTGTGTGTGTTGTTTGTGTGTGCGTGTGTGTTCGTGTGTGTGTGTGTGTGTTCGTGTGTGTGTGTGTGTGTGTGTGTTTGTGTTTGTTCGTGTGTGTGTGTGTGTTGTGTTTGTGTTTGTTTGTTGTTTGTGTATGTGCGTGGTGTCGTGTGTGTGTGTGTGTGTGTGTGTGTGTGTGTGTGTGTATGTGTGTGTGTGTGTGTGTTTGTGTTTGTTTGTTTGTTTGTGTATGTGCGTGTGTTCGTGTGTGTGTGTGTGTGTGTGTGTGTGTGTGTGTGTGTTGTGTGTGGGGTGTCTTTGTGTTTGTTTACTTGTGTATGTGTGTGTGTTCGTGTGTTTGTGCGTGTGTGTGTGTGTGTGTGTGTTTTGCTTGGGTATGTGTGTGTTTGTGTTTGTGTTTGTTTGTTTGTTTGCTTATGTATGTGCGTGTGTTCGCGTGTGCGTGTGTGTGTGTGTGTGTTTGATACCTCACGGGGATATGCGAAAGTGAGTTTGGAGTAATGCCGAATGAATAAGAAAAGAAAAGAAAAAAAAATTACGAAAGAACACAAAAAATACGTGAAAAAGAAGCGAGACGAGAACAAAACAAACGCAAAAGCTTTTCTCACGAGTCGTCAAGTCGTCAATGTGCTTCGTGTCAGCTGTCCACGCGCGCTCTCGAACCCAATCAAATTTCCCGCCAACGCTGCTGGGACGACTGAGCTCGGGCTTGAGTCCACGCCGCCTTCGTCAGTGCCTTCGCAGCGACACTTTGGGGAGGGACTCTTCTTGCGCTGTGCGGGCGGGGGAATGCGACCCTCTCCCCCTCTTTCTTTCTTTCTTTCTCTCTCTCTCTCTCTCTCTCTCTCTCTCTCTCTCTCTCTCTCTCTCTCCTCTCCTCTCTCTCTCTCTCCTCTCTCTCTCTCTCTCCTCTCTTGTGTCCCCCTTTCTCATCTCTCTCTCTCTCTATCTCATCTCATCGCCTCTCTCTCCTCCTTTCTCTTCTCTATTTCTTTTCTTCTCTCTATGTCCTTTCTTCTTTGTTCTCTCTCTCTTTCTCTCTCTTCTTCCTCTCCCTCCTTTTACTCCCTCCTCCGTGGCTGCCCTTTCGCCTCTCCTTCACTTCCTCTCATCTCTCCTCCCACCTCTCCTTCTCTTCTCTCTCGTCTCTGCTCCCCTCTCAATCTCTCTCTTTCTCTCTCTAAATTTTTTTTTCCTTTCTATTTTGTCTCTCTCCGATCTTCCACTCTGCCCCCCCCACTATTCCTTTTTCTCTCATCTCTGTCCCTCCACCCTCAGATCTCACTCTCTCTCCCCCCTTTCTCGATTCTTTCTTTCTTTCCTTCGTCTCTCTCTCGCTCTCTCTCTCTCTCTTCACTCTCTCATCGTCTCCTCTCCTCTCCTCTCTCTCTCTTCTCTCTCTCTCTCCTCTATCTCTATCTCTATTCTCTCCTCTGTATCTCCCCTGTCTCCTCCCGCTCTCTCTTCTCGGTCATCTCTCTCTGTCTCTGTTCTCTCTCGTCTCTCTTTCCCTTCTCTTTTTTTCTCTTCCTCTGTGTGCTGTCCTCCCAGTCCCACCTCTCATCTCGCTCTCCCTCCTCTTTATTTCTTTCTGTCTGGTCTCTCCCTTCTCTCTCCTCCATCTCTCCTCTCTCTCATCTCTCGTCTCGTTCTCCCTCTTTCTCTGCTATTCCTCTCTCTCCTCTCCTCTCTCTCTCCTCCCGTCTCTCTCTCTCTCTCTCAAATCTCTTCCTCGTCTTCTCCGTTCCCTCTCCGGCATTCTCCTCGGCTCTTTTGTTTTTTCTTTTTTCCAAGTCCTTCCTAGTCTCCTGCGTGTATACTCTTTTTCTGAGGAATGCTAATCAGTCTAAGAGTTTTAAAGATTGGATTTGCTGGCTTTATGCAGGAAGTGCGAGAGGAAATTTATTTTTGAAGTTTTAGTTTAAGCCGAGAGCTCACGGGGCGCGAAAGATAAAAGAACACGAAGTAAGTTACGTTACAGAAGCTTGGGTGGGGGTGGGGGGGGTCCGGGGAGGGGAGGGGGAAGGGTGGGATGGTTTGTGCACTTCGAAGTACTTAAGAAGACTTGGGGTGGGGGTGGGGGGGGGTGGGGTGGGGGGGGGGAGGTTGTGCACTGTTCGAAGTAACCTCAGAAAACAGGATAGAGATAATCGTAGAAAAAAAAATTGGTTAAATGATTGACGATTATTACAGAAATAACGATTTTTTTTTTTATGGTGATTAGATATAATTCAGCATAAGCTAAAAATTGCGAATTGGTATGACTTGAAAGCAAGGTCAGTGGAACAGGATAAGGACTAAGTCGAGGGCAATTGCTGTGATTCTGGAACAACAGTCATGACGATGATGACTGCCGCAGAAATGACAAATGGAAATCTTTTACTTCGACTGAATGTAGAACGAATATGTACCAGTCATGCGTTACTGAAATGAACAAATCGCCAACATTATATACAACCATTTTGAGCCAAAACTTCGAGCAATTAATATTCCTAAGCCCTTGTTTGCTCGCTGAGTGTGTAAACAGCTACTTTGTCTTCATTTTACACTTTCGCTGAAGAATATTCACAAGAGGTTGGCACTAGAATTATACAGTAACAGGAACTCTCAAAAAAGTGCTCGTTATATTGCGACAAATG